TTTGGCTTCGGAATTAGATCGGAAAGGATCTACAGTGATCTTCAGCCCGGGATTTTCTTGACATAAGGAAACCCAATTCGTTAATCATCATTCTCATCACCTCAACGTAGATAAAACTTCCTAATAGACTAATGATACCACAAACAACAAAAAGCACTAAAGTAATTCCTGGTGATTGAACTAGAATCCACATACTATCGGCGTTGAAAATTCCTATTAAAAATAATAATAAACTTTATTCATTGAAGAAAAATTTTTAGAAATAAAATTCAAAAAAAAACAAACCTGCTCCTATAATTTATAGATGCAAACATTTGAAAGGTCAGAGGTTAAAAATCTCTTCATGTCAAATAAATTAAATACTGACGTCCATACGTTACTGTCGTATGTAAGTTCGATCAGCTATTTTTGGCTTACAGTAGCTGTTTTTATAACCGTAGCAATCTTGTGAACTAGTAATATAAATTAGATGATTTTAGTACCATTCGAAGTGTCTCAATGAGATGAATCGAACGGTACTAAAACCGTTCAATTTAGAACACTGAATCACGAGAAGCTAGTGGCTATAAAAACGGCTAAGCCGGTAATAACCGACCGAATCCATCTCTAATCTGCTGCCTTACCGACAATTCTGTTTATATTATAGCCTATTCCGAATAAAATTCCTAAAGTATTTTGATAATTTACACTACTAGTTTCATCTTCCATTTTAATTTTATGAGCTCAATGCTAAAGAAATAAAATTATTAAAGGTTCGAAAGCATTTAAAAATTAATTTTAATTTTCTGCATGTCATGTGATTCTGATCGATCAATCGACCAATTTGGTTATCATTATAAACAAACTGCCCAAATTCATATCTTGTTTACAGGTAGTGTCGTACTATAGTAATTATACCTATTATATATTTTTTGTATTTCATTTATACGCACTTTGTTTGTTAAAATATGAGTGACGCCAAGGGAAAATGGGACATTGGTTTATCATTTATTATTTAAATAAATAATCAATGTCCCACTTTCCTTTGGCGTCACTCATATAATGCATTTGTCTGTGTTACAATCTACCGTAGAGCGCTGCATACAGTACCCGGTGTGACAAATAATGTAGATTAATTTTTTAAAATATTATTTATGTATGC